AAAATGTAAATATTGTCTTATGTGCTTCCTGTATCAAAACAAAAGGAAAATGAATTAGCATTCTAATCATTGAGAAAAAGAAAAAGAAAAAAAAAGAAACCTTGCCATTTTTTATTTATCAAAGTCAAGTTCCATGTAAACTTGCAACATGCTTAGGTTCCTTTTCAAACTTGCTTTGAAAATTCATATTTATATATGGAGAACTCTGAGAGTACTTCTCCTTGTACCTTACCTTACACCCCAAGCTCTAAGAACCCCTTGTGTTTATTGCTTCAAAATTGTTCGTGTAACAACAAGCAAACTTCAAAATTTTTGTGTCATTTGAAATCTATGCTATTGCCAGAGAAGAAAAATCATAACAAGGAATGAATTTGTAGGGAATTAGGAAGGCATTAAACATTTTCTCTGCAACGTAGTTTTTTCTTTTTTATGTTGCTACATTATTTTCTTTTGGTTTTTATGAATCATGAATAATTCAGAGTGTTCTATCTAGCTTGCCTACTTATTACTTCTCTCTGTTTTCCTTACTCGCCTCTGTGGCTATAACACTGGAGAAATTAAGAAAGGATMTCCTTTGGTAGGTCCTAGAGAGGACAAGAAGCTACACTTGGTTTTATGGTATTCCATTTGTACTCCCAAGGATTGTGGGGGTGKGGGTGTGAGGAGRTTGAGAGGGGTGAATGATGCTTTGCTTTGTAAATGGCTATGGAGGCAAGTAATTGAGGGTAAGTATGGTAGCTCTTGGGTTGGTCTGCTCTCCCTTCTCACCTTTCCCATGGCACTAGTGTGTGGAAAGGTATTGTGGTGCGCCTTCCTCTGTTTCAAAGACATATAAAATTTAAAGTAGGGGAGGGAAGCAGAGTCTACTTCTGGAAGGACATTTGGTGTTTAGATCAGCCTTTAGCAGAGGCCTTTCTAACTTTGTTCCCCATTGCCTTTAACAGAGATGGTGTGGTAAGGGGATTTCTTGGAGTTTGTTAATGGTCAGTTAGTTTGGTTCCCTAGGTATCGAAGGAAACTTAAATGATTGGGAGGTGGATGCACTCCAAAATCTGTTAGGGAGTTAATTATCAAAAAAAAAAAAATTGTTAGGGAGTTTGCAGGAGGTTCAAGTCAATCTGAACTCTAGTGATACTAGAGTGGACTTGTGAAAAGAATGGATGATTCACTATTAAATCTTGTTGTGCAGTCGTGCTTGGTAATGGTTTTAAAGTGGCCTGATCCTGGTTTTGGAAGTCTCAGGTTCCCTCAGAGATTGTCTCTTTCTTATGGCTTGCAGCAAGGGGTAAAGTTCAAACAGTGGATGTTTTACTAAAGCAAGGCTTGACCTTCAAAGGTACCAGTGGCTTGTGTGGGTCAGCTTCTGAATCTGTAAATCATTTGTTGATTCACTACCTGCTTACTTATCGGGTGTGGTGTCATTTCTTTGGGCTCTTTCATATCCAGTGGGTCTTACCCTGT